ATCCATCGCAATGAAGACAAGCATGGTTTGTAAATACGGTTACAAAACGCATCGCGGACGCCTTGGCCCATCCTCCCGCGCATATAAATCAACCGTAAAATCACCAGCAGAGCATTGTCTTTCTCATTTTTCCATACATTTGCGTCACCGCGTGCAAGATCCAATACTGTTAACCAACTGTTAGCAATGCCACTCCGCGTTGCTCCGCGCAACCGCGGCCGCTCGCTACATATCGCAAGCTCTTGCGTCGCCCAGCCTGGCTTCATGATTAATCGCTGCCCTAATTCCGTTTGCAATACCTTAACCCGCACACGTAACCGCCGCGCTGCCGAGGGTATTCGATCCTTTCGCACTTCCGACACACAATAATGAGGAGGAAGCGATTGCAGACCGAAACAATCGACGATTCCGGCTGCGCGCGCCGCGGCGGAAACTGCGCCAGCGCACCGGCGGGATTTGCTCTTTTTATTTATTTATCAAGCGATCTAGACCGCATCTGTCGGGCGACAAACGCGTACAGCTGCCCTTTATGGTTATCGTCATTATTCCAGCCTCAACAAACTGGCAAGACTGGAGCGAGCGATCACCTGTCGCCAGGTGTTACATGCACAACGCCTACAATCTTTTTTCTGGGAAATGGAACGTTTTTTACTCGTCATAATTGCGTGTCATCTTATCGAGAAAAATATCTCAAACCACACACATACTGTTGCAATTTTTTCGTTCAGATTTCATTGCATTGTAATAACGATTATTAACTCGTCTGCCATGTGAGAGCTTCAGCTTTTTACTCGAACGTTTCTCAACACTTGGAAAAGTCGGTTTAAACGTAACAACGAGTTATGAAAGTGTATACGCAAACGTGCCAGTGAGCCGGTTACCTGCCGATTCTTCGTGTAATATCCTGCACGACATAATTCCTAGTTCAATTAGATACGCGCGCAATTTACGACATTTCAGTGAGTGCAGCGGAGTTTGGGTCGCGGTCTTCATCCGTAGAATTCGAGCGTGTCTGCTTAATGGCCCCGAAAGATCAAGGGTATGCGATCGTCGGGCTGCGACCGGCATCCTCGCACGTGTGCGATGTCCCCCGAAAGTATTTCGAAACAACAGCATAGCGATATATCGGGAAGGAGTCAATGAACGGAAGTGTTTCACGAGTGTCTGTGACATGCCCGCGCTATCGCAACTTGCGTAACGGACGCTTGCCCAACGCAGAACACTACCGTTGCTTGTTCTGGGCAGGGCCAGTGCCACTGCGGCCGCAGGATCGCAGGAATCTTGTTGGCGCGGCTGTTGCAAGCTCCTGCGGTCGGCGCGGGATGGCCGGGTCGACGCACGCTTTCTACACCGGCGCTCTTTCTCCACTGCGCCGCATTAGCCGCGCGATTGCAAAACTCTGCTGAGGTCGCGCTTTCTTCGTTCGCGACGCCTGGAGAAATTGTTGCGACATCGTACACCGACCCCGCGTTAGAAAGTCGACCGCTCACCGGATTTAACTCAGCCACGTAACTGTGTAATTGCAACAATTCGAGCCGGAGATCGATGAGATTTCGGATACTTTTTGCGGACGCACAACGGACACTTTCTTCGGTTACACAATCCTAACGTAACGGCCGGTAGGGTCATCGAACGGTATCGGTCGTTTCGTAAAAGTATCGTGCGTGAATAACTGGAGATGGTCGTGCGCAATTGGCCAATTGCGCTGCGGTTTGCGCAACGGGCTCTGGAGTGGCGCCCGTTCCGCAGTCCACGCGTTGCAACACAGGATTATTTCGGCGGCGGCGCTTGGACCGCCGCCCGGGCTTGCAACATGCCATATCGCAACGCACCTCATAATCCGCGCCATTGTGACACCCGGCCTGCGCGCGCCGCCAGCCTGCCAAATACGGCCCGCACAGTTGCACACGATCTCCTTACAGCATCCATCTTCACCGACACTGAATGTCACCCGCACCTACCCCCCACCCCGGCTCTGCTCCATTGAAGCTGCATTCGATTTAAAAACTAAAACAATTTTGCAATCGATGTTCACATTTGTGTTTTCGCAAGCGGCCCAGCGCTCGGTTTCAAAACTGAGTTCGACTTGCGTTATCGCTACTCCGATAAAGCGAACAGTGCCGCTGCTTATGCGGTTTTGAGACCTAAATTCAGAAGGATATACACACAATTCGTCGTCGTCGCACGGCGCATTGTCTAAGGCACTTAGCCCAACTCTGGTTTTCGCAACGTTATTTACATTAGCTGATTCATATGTGCGCTCGACGATAAAGCCGTAAGGCTAGCGGTGCTCTGATACTGTTATCAATCAAATTTCATAAAACATCCGCTGTGGGAACATGATTGTGCAATAGAAGCCGCGTATAATTGGGCATGGTCGGGATGGTTTCCCAACCTATCCCGGCGGCATCTCCGCGGTGTGGCAAGCGCTTGCGACACCACATGTCCCTACAATGCGGGTTACAAAATCTATGAGTAACCCACGCTGCACCATAGGGCTCGGAAGTGACCCGTGCGGAGCGTGAACAGCAAATTATTCATTGTTGACCATTAATCGGATCTTTCGCAACCCGGCGCCTGCCTGACACATCGAGACCTTTTTGTGAATGGTCGCATATAATGCGCTTCCTCGCGCTTGCGCAAGGCGCGTCATGTAGCGATATTAAGTCGAGCAGGAAGTGCATGCATGTGTGCTGCATCTGACTGCCATTGTTTGTTACGAAACTGTCAGGGTTGAGTTGAGCAATGGCGGCGGTTGCGAAACTGCAGCGCATCCCGCTAATTGTGGGCGATCTCCCACACGTCTGTCGCTGTACAAACCCACTGAACGATTATCACAACAATGAATATCGCCTTTATCACTTATCGCATCGGCATCCAATCTATCCGTGTTGCATTTATTTATAAACGCTTGTTATTAATTTTTAATGACAAATCAAATTAAATCCGAGTGTGTTAATGACGGGATTTCTACAAACTTGACCAATAAAGTTACAGCCACCCATTTACAAACGTGTAATTTAACGAAATATTAGTTAACAGTGTTGCGAAGTTGCAAACGTGAGTCAATTTAGTAATGCATACAGTTTAGTTTTGGCCACGAGTTCACGAGTTAGATTAGATCGCGGGCCGCGAGAGCCGAAATGCGGCCCTGTGTGTGCGTAATGCCAAATTGCGTAAATTGACAGTTGTCCTTTCGCCGCCACCACTGCGCGGGCGCAGCGCCTCCCGCGCCACGTCCGAGTCACGCCGAGAATCCTTGAGGCCACCGTTCGGAAATCCGGCCAACCTTCCGACCGCGTTACGACACCGTATAACTTATTTACACGTTGCGAAATTCGAATCGATTGCAACTGCAGACATCGCACTTTAGCCTTGCCGCTGTAGGGATTTAATTAGGATCAGTTGCGCAGTCGACGAGACCTAAACGGACACGAGGACGCCCTCAGATCCAGCTCCGCTCACTGATGGATTACAAAAAAGGGCCGGAGTGCAGTTGCAGGGTGACGTCACGCGTTTCGTCAGCGGGTTCCCACAGAGGATCTCTTGCTTCACGCCGATTAGTGGCACGTGCAGCGCCACGCACGCCCCACGCGTCTGCGCAACCATGCAGCGATGCAGCGTTACTCCTCTGACCCTACACTCCTTGCAATCCAAAACATCATGCCTAATGCCTAACACGCGAAGCGGTTGTTATTTCATTAAAAATCTGAAAGTCACTTGCGACAATCTTAACGAGGATAACCTTTACAACCAACCGCTCCATATTGTCACGACCCGATCAAATTTAATAACAAATGGCTACTAGATCATTTTGGATTAGCGCGGCACGCATAGTTTTATTAGTGGCAGGCTACGGTCTAATATGGCTTGGTCCCATTACCTTCGCGGCGAGCGATCTCGTCAATTTCAGTTAGCAGTCTTGCGTCCGTCGACAGACTATTTGTCAAACAGCTGAGACCGCAACTTGCGGGTTTTGTAACTCTGAGCAAACTTGATATTTATTGCGTTCATCTTTCGGATTAAGTACCAACGCGTAATCAAAACGAGTGACTTACGAGAACAAGCCGCGCGCTATGCCAGGTGAAAATTACTTTTAACTGCAGACGTTAATAGGTTCCAGACGCAAAAATAGATCAGGAGCCCTTCTTTAAATTCATTTAGCTCACAGTTCCCCTCAGAAGTATTATTAAACAGGCTAAAAATATCGTATGTATGCATTAATGCACGTCGATTTTACTGCATAGGAACGCCCACAGCGCACCTGCCTCGCCTTAACCTCCATATGCTTATTATTTTTTATTTCTTTAAAATTACACGTCGATTTTACTCCATGGACACTATAGTTTATTTTGATACTGCAACGCTGAACGCTGCGAAGTCAAAGCGACGCATACGGTAGGTAGGCAAAACATGTAAATCGTAGAGCGGAGTCCCGTTTGTCGCTCGATCCGAGTTGTTTTATTTACATTCAATCGCATATACAGCGGTGTACAGTTTCGAACTGTGTATTTAATGCATTTCGAAACGATGCGGCGGCTGTGAAACACGAGGTCGCGCACGGTGCGCCTGAAGCCGTGATGAAACGAACCCATTGCATCAGCTTTAGGGTTCGCTTTGTAATTGCTCCATGACACAAATGCTACATATTAATCGACCTGCGGGAGACAATTTATTATAGTATTACACACATGGATTACACGGTTCAAATTACCGAGGTTCACGTTCAGTTTGGGCGCGATGCTTTATCGGTAATTAGCTGTACGCGCGAATCGTTAATAGCGCCCGGACAAAGCTTTGTGCACAAAGGGATCCATTACGGACGAGCGCGTATCGCGTCGCGCATAGTATTATAGGCGGACCCGCGATTTATTTGGGTCACTGATCAGCGCACAATTGAGCTGACGTGTGGCCCGCGATGGATGCATGTAATGAGTTCGGAGAAAGCACCGGACATTCCAAATTAGCCCCCGGCTAAACGTTGTCTCCTTTTGTTTCAGAACAACGCTAAAACTCGAGTCGCTGGAGGATGCAGTCGTGCTCGATGATCCTGAAGAGGACCTTCTGCAAGACAAGCGGGGGTGTCCCGCGTACGTCTCGCCTGAGATTCTGAGGGCTCATCGGACGTACTCCGGGCGGGCCGCCGACATGTGGTCCCTCGGAGTCATACTGTACACCATGCTCGTTGGAAGGTATGTATCATTTTTTGTGCGACATTATTATCTATCACCATTGTCAGGGTGACGTTTACGAGGGTGGTGCGTCGTCTTCACCTGCGAGCGTGGGACTTACCGTTTGGAGACGGCAAGGGTCGCGGCGACCGTTGGACGCGCGGGGGATGATCACCTGTCGGCCGTTACGCGCCAACGGCTAACAATTATATCACCCACATATAAATGAGGCTAGTGAAATCTTCGGGCACCTGCCGGCGGTCATGTGGCGAAGACGTTGCCCGCCTCCGCCGCACCTGCCGTTCGCGAGCCTTTGTTTTCTACTTTTATCGGCCTCGCACCCGTAATTTATATTCCAAATTCGGGATTTCGCCGCAATCGCCGGCTTCACCTGTCGCCGGAAGGGTTCCATCGTCGTACCTGAGTTTTTGTTTCTGCGTGCATCTGCCTCCCCAAATGACAATCGGTTCTTCGTCATTAATTGGTGCCGAGTTTTGTAAAAACTGGACGATTTATGGAGTCCCATCCTAACTTCGATGTTAATGATCCGTCTTATCTGTTTAAAACGCGATAAGTTTTTGTGTCAGTTTCGACAAAAAATATTCGCTCATTTGTTTGTCTCAATTTCGTATCTCAGTGTAATCTCAATTTGTGGCTATCTAATCTTTTGGGCGGGTTTAAATAAAAAATGTCTTTATAATTTGCTAAATCTCTATTTCCTTTGTTGCAGGTATCCATTCAACGACTCGGAGCATGCGTCGCTGTTCGCGAAGATATCCCGCGGGTACTTTTTAGTGCCGGAGGGTTTGTCGTCGCGAGGCAAGTGCTTGATCCGATCGCTGCTGCGGCGGGAGGCGTGCGAGCGTTTGAGCGCGCGCGACGTGCTGCGGCACCCGTGGCTGGCACGCGACCCGCGGAATGAACTGCCTCCGCGCGCCGCGGCGTCCCTCGACCGCCGGGTACCAGACGTCGACATGGACGACTGCATCTAAGCCACCCACTCGCGGCCGGTGCTGGCATCCGCCGCAAACATCGGGATACAACGCATTGATTTAAATTCGCCAGTCTGCACGCTCCGATCGACGCAGCGCAACAGACCCTACTAGACTTAAGTCGTTGGGGTTCAGTTACGCCAGCAACAGACGTCGGCGTCGTCGGACGACGGACCTTTAATGTAATGTCAAAGTTATTTATGAATTTATTGTAAGTTATACCGGCCTAAGCCTGAGCTTGTGGTTGCTGAAATAGTCCGTCACATACGCCGCGTGTTCAGCAATGTTTCAGTAGGACCCCGAGATTGAAGGCGCCTGCCGATAGTGATTGAGGTACGATGGACCGCGCCGAGGGCGGCTGGCCCGCCTCTCGTCTACCTAATTTATAAAGTAAACAGCTCGAACTGAACTCAATAAGACTCGCATAAGCCGAGCGCGTCCTGGTATTTATGTTTTATGCGGCTTTTATTGGTATTACGTTCCTGTGTTTGCAAGCTGTGGTGTAGTCGTAACGCTGTAATGACAGAATAAGTGAGACTGATGCCGCGTGTTTTCACAAAGCGGCGACCGATCATCTTGTTGTGAATCTGGCGGGCTGAGGGCACACTGACGAGGATCCCTCGGGCAGTGTGCCCCGCAATCCGCAGTCATCGGGATACAGTTATTTATGTGACATTCTGTTAACTATTACGTTAATTCCTCGTAAGCCTATTGTAACCGTATCAATTTCACATCAATATAAGATCGTTATATTGCATTGAAGTTGTTGCTATAGTCTTAGGTAAATTACCTATGTATATTTTGTATTTATATAAAATTAAAGTTATATCGTGTAATTGTGATCTCCACCGATGTTATTTAGCGATTACTTGAATGCCATTATGTTGTTACACAGAAGTGTTGTTTCTTTTGTCGCACAACGACCCATTGCTTCCATCATAGAGTTATTTGATTATATTATTTGGTTATATTAAATCGTGATTATTTGGCAAATCGACAAGTGAAATTATTATTATTTTATCGTTATTCCAACCAAAATTATGTTTAAAAAAATATATTCACATCACCATGTACCGAGTATGGTAGAATTTGGTTTGTGCCATTTATTTAATTAAACCTAATTTATTTGTTGTTAATAATCGACGAGGTGAAGTCGGCACTACTCTTCCTAAAATTAAATTATTGTTTTCCATATATGGTACTTGGTGTTGAGTTTTTATATTGATTGATAAAATTTGAGATCATTTTTTAAGTTTTGTAATAAATTAACATCTTCCAAATCAAAATCATTATGTTACCATGTCTAAATTTGTTACTGTATCTTTTGATAATGTCATGTTTTGTTTTCAATTTTCTTTTTTCATTTGGGTTTCTGAGGATTGCCGCGAATGGTTAATCATAACTATTTGGTTAAGAGAATTTGTTACTTTAATCTTTATTTTTCTGGCAAAAATAGTTATGGCTGATCTGTTCTGGTGTACCATATCAATATGAAAGTAGTCAAGTCTTTCAGAGTGATGAAAGCATTGTACAATAGTAGTCTACTATGTAAAATACTACTGCTACTTTAATTTATACAAACTGTAAATAGAGTTAAGAATATCATATAAGGATTATCAAAAAAAGAAAGATGATAGAGGGAATAAAATAATATAGAAAAATTATACCATACTTTTATTCTAATATCCTTTCCCGTATCACTAAAGTGGAAATAAAAGAAAAGCGAAAAAATAAATGGACAATAGACTAAAATGTCGGTGTAGTTGGACAAGCCGAGTCGAGATACGAGGAACGCGGGTTCGAACCCCGCCGCCGCGCCGCTGGATTATTATGTTAAAACCACTTGAAACAAGCTTATTTAGTTTACCACACCGTTAACCCTAACCGGACTATCATAGCAACTTGCAGTCCAAAATACTACATAGGTAGGTACCTACATGAAGTACCGGAGTAAAATGTGACAAAAAAAAATTGGTTCTAACTTATAAATTCTAACGCCCGTATTCACAAATGATGCTTGCTTAAGTGAAGCAGAAAATCGAACGCACAGCGTTGAACAGAGCTCTGTGATTAGTTCGTGTGCTTCCACGCGCACTGTGAAACCTCATAGTAATGTTTGTGAATACGGGCGTAAATCACTTTAATAGAGTCTAACTAAAAGGACTTACGCTAAAGGTAGGTAAGGTAGAGGTAGCTACTTAAATTCAGTATTTAGGACTCACTTTTTACAAACAAAGTCGGTCGAGGCTACAAACAAAGAGGTCAAACTTGCAAAAAATGAGATTAATAAATACCTACATGTAAACATTGTTTTATCAACAATAGAGATGCAAAGTACATACCAAAGCGTTGCACATAGGTTCACACGGCCAGACGTAGGTACGTATGACACGATTACCTATACGTTAATTAATAATTCACAAAAGTAATTTAACCGTTATTCGTAGTTTTGATTTCTGACTGTTTTACTTTTTTATGAATAGGGTGAAGACGATAAAAGCAAAGAAATACTACAAGATATAAAATACAATTGAAGAAATTAGGTAATTACGCAAAAAACACATTAGTTAGATAATAATAATACCTTATTAGTTAGAGCATTAAATTAACTTCCGTGAATAGTGTTTTTATTAACGTTTCTTTTCCACTGAAAAAACAATAAGACAATGCTGTTACAGCGCCATCTATACCTTGCCAAGTCCCATCAGAAGGGGCAAAAGCACCCGAAGCACCACCATTAGCCACCATATCGTATCCAGCTAGCACGTAGCAAGTTTTAATAATGTGTAGTCATGTTTGATGCATCGTTAATTATACTAACACTAAATAGCCTCCGACTTCTTGTTTGTTGATTGTGGATTCAATTGAAAATAATGTTATTAGATGTGGTGTGTGACGCTAGGTTGCGCCTTTGCACTTATAAAAAAATACTCTGTCGCCATATCTGTGTCTGTCGCCTTATTGGTCGCCTTCTTAAAAATGTCAACTTGATCAACCCAACCATGTAGATTTTACATTGATCTCAATGAATGAATACAGGAAAAATAAATCAAAAACATTTCTATTTGATCTCTGAATTTATTTCTAATAATTACATTTATACAAAAACAACTAAGGTGAAGTCATCTGTGCCAGCCGCTAGTCTCAACAAAACAAAATCTATGAGATGTCGCAATAATAATAATATTTACACGTATATCGCGCTATTAACTTCGCATATATCGCATGTCATTTAGATAATTAATTTAATGATGTTCAAGCATGATGAATTTAAAAATATGCTGTTTAACACGATAACAAGTGAGTGATGCAAGACTACAGGGACTTAAAATTCCAGGTTAAGAGTATGAAATTAAATATAACTTAGAAATCATCTCGAATATTCCTTCGCATTGTTACAATATATTGCGCAATATTTTATATTACGTAGCGGTTTTTCAAATCAAGGAAGTGGTCTAGTATCGGTAACATATTAAAACTGCGTAGTAACTAAATAAACAATGATTTAATTTAGAACATAACAATGACATTATAATTTTAAGGGAAAAACATTCCAAAAACTAAATTATTACGTCGGAAAATCTACTTGTTGTGTTTAGCATCCAATAAGTTAAAGGTGTTAAAATAAAAACAATATTAAATACTTATCGAGTCTATTTCAATAGTATTAAGCGTTACATCACAGCACAGTGACTTCTTCCCAACGACAATAAGATGGTATTTGATTAAATTACTATAATAATGCATAACACGCTATCAAAAATCTTGCAATAATGAGTTTAGGAGTTCTAAGTGCGTATGAAATCATATGCGTTTTGTACTAAGATTTCTCACATTAGTAATTGGAACAGTAGTTTTTATTAATTTCGTCGATTCATCGACAGTGATCTTTTTTGTTAGCATGATAAATTACGGATTGAATTCAGTTTTTACATAGTCCCTGACATTCTATTAGAAAAGATAAAGTCACCAGTATAATAATCCAGCAGCGATTCTAAACAGAAATGTTAGCCAACTGTCTGTCTTGCATAAGTGAAGCAGCAAATCGAACGCACAGCGTTGAATAGAGCTCTATGATTGGTTCATGTGTGACCCTGTGCGTCCACACGCACTGTGAAACCTCATAGTAATGTTTGAAAATACGGGCGCGAGTCAGGGACTTATAGTCCAAGAATACGCCACATGCCCAATGAAGGTTTCTATAAAAATATTTCAAAACGCATTTGATTCTTCAATCCCCTCAGGTTAGGACTGAATAGACCCTACAACAGTTTGACTTTATGCTTAGAAGATTCCGTGGAAAACCAACTTTATTTTTCCTAGGTCTGAAGACCCCACATCAATTTGAACTTTATGCCGTCAAAATACGGTTAAAAAACAATGAATAAATTCCTAGGCCTGGTTAAGGCATAAAGAAATAACTCTTAACCAGGCCTTGGTTAGAGCCCACATCAATTTGAACCTTATACTGTGAAGATACAGTTGAAAACTAATGACTTTTTTTAAGAGTTAATTCTCCTAAACCCGAAATTGCAAGCGTGGTATGGTTATGGTCAGCTCAGTAGAGGCGTTCGGCCTTGCTGGGCCCATGTGTGCAGGCCCAGGCTTGCATGCGGCGTTCCAGTTCGGGCCTGAAGTGCCGGATGAGGCCTTGCACGGGCCACGCGGCGCCGTCGCCGAGCGCGCAGATTGTGTGGCCTGGGGACAAAGAAGGTACGTGAGAAATGTATTTAAATCCGTTGACTTATCTCTGGATTACCTCAAGGGAAATGGGAGAAAATACTGTATAATCATAATAATAAATAATAATAATAAATATCCTTGGACATTTTACACTGCGCTTCTAGTCCCAAACTAAGCAAAGCTTGTACTATGGGTACTAGACAACGGATACAAACATAATATGTAGGTACTTAAATACTTTTTTTTTTGTAAATACATACATATTATACATAGAAAACACCCAGTCCAATACAAACGAATATTATGTTCATGCACACAAATGTTTTTACTGTGTGAGAATCGAACCCGCAACCTCCGGAATAGTAGTTCGTTTCGAACCACTACACCAAACGGCCGACTCAACGACATACAGTGACTTGGCTGTATGGGGTTGAGTCATCCAATTTGTTGTTTCTTTGTACGTTACATTTCTTTAAGTATAAATCAATTTAAAAATAAATAAATAATGAGGGAGCTAAGAGCCATAAAAGATGATCATGGCCATACCTTCAATTTGTTTAGAGATTTCCCAAAGCATGTCGATTTCCTTCGGTGAAGCGTTGCCATCAACGAATCTGGAATGAAACAAAACATTTTATAATATTTAAAAAATATTTTCTCCACCGCGATCTAGCACTTACACAGCGCCATCTCTTGGCGCCACATTGAAATTAGCTTGTAGGATCTTTGAAAAACGTTCATTACCGTGAACACATACTCAGCACCATCTCTAAAGCCCGGTCGCCAAACATGTAGAATTTCGTCCAATGACCCCAAGCTACCCATCCTTATCGCTCGCGCGTAATTATATTGCTGTCGCGACTGTGCGACGGGCGGCCGCAGTTAGTGTGCGAGCGCGACAGCAACATAATTACGCGTGAGCGATAAGATAAGTATGGGTTAGCTTGGGGTCAATGGACGAAATTCTACGTGCTCGGCGACCGGGCTTTAGAGATGGTGCTGAGTATGTGTTCACGGTCACCACGGCCGGATTTTAGTCACCATAATACAACTAACACGTACGTAACGTACAAAAACACTGTAGTGTTGACAAGTTTGCCATCTGATGGCGCCATTCAAACTAACCTGTACATGATCTTGTTCATCCAAGACACGCCCTCGCGGCACGGCGTGCACTGCCCGCACGACTCGTGCTTGTAGAACATGATGAGGCGCGCGATGGCCTTCACTATGTCCGTGGACTTGTCCATCACGATGATGGCGGCTGTCCCGAGCGAGGTCTGAGCGGCTACCAGCCCGTCGAAGTCCATGATCAAGTATGTAATCTATTGGTATTGTTAACTATTCAATTCTTGGAAAAGACGTTCACCACCATAATCATACATTACAGCACCATCTCTTGACGTCAAATTGAAACTAATCTTTGGACATCCCTTTGGAAAACGGCCACCACCGCGAGCTAGCATTTATACAGCACCATCTCGTAGCCTCACATGGAAACTAATCTGTACAAGATGCTTGAAAAATCTCCACCACCGCGATCTAATACATACACAGCGCCATCTCTTGGCACCATTGAAACTTACCTGTACCAAATCTTTGAAAAAATCTTCACCACCATCATTTACAACGCCATCTGTTGGCGCCATTGAAACTACATGATCTTGTTCATTCAAGACACACTGTAATACTTTACAGCGCCATCTCTCGTCACCATCACGAAACTAACCTGTACAAGAGCACTATAATAGCGCCATCTCTGTCACCACACGGCAACTAACCTGTACATGATCTTGTTCATCCAGGACACGCCCTCGCGGCACGGCGTGCACTGCCCGCACGACTCGTGCTTGTAGAACATGATGAGGCGCGCGATGGCCTTCACTATGTCCGTGGACTTGTCCATCACGATGATGGCGGCTGTCCCGAGCGAGGTCTGAGCGGCTACCAGCCCGTCGAAGTCCATGATCAAGTATGTGTAATTAATTGGAATGTTAACTATCCAATTCTTAAAAAAAAATAGCACAGCGATCTAACATCACAGAGCGCCATCCCTTCAAGTGCCATTGAAACTAACCTGTATCTTTCAAACATCTTCACCATCGCGATCTAACACATAGACAGCACCATTACGTAGCCTCACATGGAAACTAATCTGTACAAGATGCTTGAAAAATCTTCACCACCGCGATCTAATACATACACAGCGTCATCTCTTGGCGCCATTTAAACTTACCTGTACAAAATCTGAAAACCTTCACCATTGCGATCTAATACACATACAGCGCCATTGAAACTTACCTGTGCATAATCTTGTCCATCTAATACTTCACACCGCCATCTCTCGTCATCACAACGATACTAACCTGTACAAGAACACTATAACAGCGCTATCTCTGTCACCACAACTCAACTAACCTGGTCCTGTACATGACCTTCGAAAAATCTTCACTACCGTCATCTAATACACATACAGCGCCATCTCTTAGCGAAAAAACTAACCTGTACATGATCTTGTTCATCCAGGACACGCCCTCGCGGCACGGCGTGCACTGCCCGCACGACTCGTGCTTGTAGAACATGATGAGGCGCGCGATGGCCTTCACTATGTCCGTGGACTTGTCCATCACGATGATGGCGGCTGTCCCGAGCGAGGTCTGAGCGGCTACTAGGCCGTCGAAGTCCATGATCAAGTATTATTATGTGATCGAGTGGTATTGTTAACTATCCACAGAAAATATTATAGAGCACCGCGACCTTACACCCCAGAGCGCCATCTATAAAGGTCACATTGAAACGAACCTGTACATGATCTTTAAATCATCACCACCGCGATGTAATACATATACATCGCCATCTGTTAACGCTACAGTGAAACTAACCTGTACCAGATCTTTGAAAAAATCTTAACCACCATCATTTACAACGCCATCTGTTGGCGCCATTGAAACTACATGATCTTGTTCATTCAAGACACACTGTAATACTTTACAGCGCCATCTCTCGTCACCATCACGAAACTAACCTGTACAAGAGCACTATAATAGCGCCATCTCTGTCACCACACCTACACTAACCTGTACATGATCTTGTTCATCCAAGACGGATCCAGGAATCTGTACATGATCTTCGAAAATCTTCACTACCGTGATCTAATACACATACAGCGCCATCTCTGTCACCACACGGCAACTAACCTGTACATAATCTTGTTCATCCAAGACACGCCCTCGCGGCACGGCGTGCACTGCCCGCACGACTCGTGCTTGTAGAACATGATGAGGCGCGCGATGGCCTTCACTATGTCCGTGGACTTGTCCATCACGATGATGGCGGCTGTCCCGAGCGAGGTCTGAGCGGCTACCAGCCCGTCGAAGTCCATGATCAAGTATGTGTAATTAATTGGATTGTTAACTATCCAATTCTTAACAGAAACGTTTCGCCATCGCGACCTGACATCGCACAGCTCGATCTCTTAACGCCACATTCTAATTCTAACTAACCTGTACATGATCCTAGGACAATCCTTCACCACCGCGATCTAATACATACACAGCGCCATCTCTTGGCGCCATTAAAACTTACCTGTACAACAATCTTCACCATTGCGATCTAATACACATACAGCGCCAATGAAACTTACCTGTGCATGATCTTGCGCCATCTGTTAGCACCACAATGTAAATATAGCGCCATCTCTGTCACCACAACGAAACTAACTTGTACATACAAGAGCACTACAATAGCGCCATCTCTGTCACCACAACTACACTAACCTGTACATGATCTTGTTCATCCAGGACACGCCCTCGCGGCACGGCGTGCACTGCCCGCACGACTCGTGCTTGTAGAACATGATGAGGCGCGCGATGGCCTTCACTATGTCCGTGGACTTGTCCATCACGATGATGGCGGCTGTCCCGAGCGAGGTCTGAGCGGCTACCAGCCCGTCGAAGTCCATGATCAAGTATGTAATCTATTGGTATTGTTAACTATTCAATTCTTGGAAAAGACGTTCACCACCACGATCATACATTACAGCACCATCTCTTGACGTCAAATTGAAACTAACCTTTGGACATCCCTTTGGAAAACGGCCACCACCGCGAGCTAGCATTTATACAGCACCATCTCGTAGCCTCACATGGAAACTAATCTGTACAAGATGCTTGAAAAATCTCCACCATTGCGATCTAATACACATACAGCGCCATTGAAACTTACCTGTGCATGATCTTGGGCCATCTTTTAGCAGCACAATGTAACTATAGCGCCATCTCTGTTACCACACCGAAACTAACCTGTACTTAATCTTCGAAAAATCTTCACCACCGTGATCTAATACATATACAGCGCCATCTCTTAGCAAATAAACTAACCTGTACATGATCTTGTTCATCCAGGACACTCCTTCGCGGCACGGCGTGCACTGCCCGCACGACTCGTGCTTGTAGAACATGATGAGGCGCGCGATGGCCTTCACTATGTCCGTGGACTTGTCCATCACGATGATGGCGGCTGTCCCGAGCGAGGTCTGAGCGGCTACCAGCCCGTCGAAGTACATGATCAAGTATTATTATGTGATCGAGTGGTATTGTTAACTATCCACAGAAAATATTATAGAGTTCCGCGACCTTACACCGCAGAACGCCATCTATTAACGTCACATTGAAACGAACCTGTACATGATCTTTAAATCGTTACCACCGCGGTGTAATACATATACAGCGCCATCTGTTAACGCTACAGTGAAACTAACCTGTACCAGATCTTTGAAAAAATCTTCACCACCATCATTTACAACGCCATCTGTTGGCGCCATTGAAACTACATGATCTTGTTCATTCAAGACACTGTTATACTTTACAGCGCCATCTCTCGTCACCATCACGAAACTAACCTGTACAAGAGCACTATAATAGCGCCATCTCTGTCACAACACCGCAACTAACCTGTACATGATCTTGTTCATCCAGGACACTCCTTCGCGGCACGGCGTGCACTGCCCGCACGACTCGTGCTTGTAGAACATGATGAGGCGCGCGATGGCCTTCACTATGTCCGTGGATTTGTCCATCACGATGATAGCGGCTGTCCCGAGCGAGGTCTGAGCGGCTACCAGCCCGTCGAAGTCCATGATCGCTGTCTCGCAGACGCTGCGGGGAAAATGTAAAGTTAATAAATAAATCAGTTGCTGTAATAATAGTGTGTGGAAAGTTTTTGGGTAAGGAATGTGCACGATTTCTAGTGCTGCCGATTTTGAAACTGTGTTTATTTGGCAAACCTGATGGTGACCAGATTTTTTTTTCTTTTGCAGGCAAAAGCATACGCCATGCAGCCATGTCTTCAGTATTATTGACCCGAGATATTGATAAGTCGTTCTTTTGTTTTTGTCAGTATAACTTGGCTTATGGAACCACGATTTCGCCAAAGTCACGTAACCAGCTTTAACAATATTTCGGGGTTTCAAAAACAGAAACTTACTCCTTAGGGATCAAAGGCGTGGACGAGCCTCCGGGTATGATGGCCAGCAGGTTGTCCCTCCACTGTGCACGGCGTGTTCACGTAACCAGATTTTTTTTCTTTTGCAGGCAAAGGCATACGCCATACAGCCAAGTCTTCAGTGTTAATGACCAGAGATGTTGAAAAGTTGATCTTCTTTTGTTTTTCAACAATGACTTGGTTTTGGGAACCGCGATATTGCCAATATCACGTGATTTAACAGTGGACTGGCTGTGGGGACCACGATTTTGCCAATGTCACGTGAGTAGCTTTGGAAGTCTGCTGGATTTTTTAAAACAGAAACTTACTCCTTAGGTATCAAAGGCGTGGACGAGCCTCCGGGTATGATGGCCAGCAGGTTGTCCCAGCCGCCGCAGACGCCGCCCGCGTGCCTCTCGATCAGTTCCTTCAGAGGGATGCTCATCTCTTCCTCCACTGTGCACGGCGTGTTCACGTGACCCGAGATGTTTTTTTTGGTCCTTTCCTTTTGCAGGCAAAGGCATACCAAACACGTGACCAGAGATGTTTTTTGTCTGATCCTTTTTTTTGCAAGAAAAGGCAAAGGCATACGCCATACAGCCAAATCTTCAGTATGACCAGAGATGTTGAAAAGTTGATCTTCTTTTGTTTTTCAACAATGCCTTGGTTTTGGGAGCCACGATTTTGCCAATATCACGTGATTTAACAGTGAACTGGCTTTGGGAACCACGATTTCGCCAAAAGTCACGTAACCAGCTTTAACAATATTTCAGAGTGTTTAAAATCAGAAACTTACTCCTTAGGGATCAAAGGCGTGGACGAGCCTCCGGGTATGATGGCCAGCAGGTTGTCCCAGCCGCCGCAGACGCCGCCCGCGTGCCTCTCGATCAGTTCCTTCAGAGGGATGCTCATCTCCTCCTCCACTGTGCACGGCGTGTTCACGTGACCCGAGATGTTTTTTTTGGTCCTTTCCTTTTGCAGGCAAAGGCATACCAAACACGTGACCAGGGATGTTTTTTTGTCTGATCCTTTTTTTTGCAAGAAAAGGCAAAGGCATACGCCATACAGCCAAGTCTTCGTGGTTAATGAGCAGAGATGTTGAAAAGTTGATCTTCTTTTGTTTTTGTCAGAGAGATGGCTTTGGGAACCACGATTTCTTTTAGCTTTAACAATATTTCAGAGGGTTCACGTGACCCGAGATGTTTTTTTTTTTAGAAAAGGCAAAGGCATACGCCATACAGCCAAGTCTTCAGTGTTAATGACCAGAGATGTTGAAAAGTTGGTCTTCTTTTGTTTTTCAACAATGCCTTGGTTTTGGGAGCCACGATTTTGCCAATATCACGTGATTTAACAGTGAACTGGCTTTGGGAACCACGATTTTGCCAATGTCACGTAACCAGCTTTAACAATATTTCTGAGTATTAAAATCAAATACTTACTCCTTAGGGATCAAAGGCGTGGACGAGCCTCCGGGTATGATGGCCAGCAGGTTGTCCCAGCCGCCGCAGACGCCGCCCGCGTGCCTCTCGATCAGTTCCTTCAGAGGGATGCTCATCTCCTCCTCCACTGTGCACGGCGTGTTCACCAGATATAGTTTTTTATGGCCCTTTCTTTTTGCAGGCTAAGGCATACCAAACACGTGACCAGAGATGTTTTTTTGTCTTATCCTTTTTTTTTGCAAGAAAAGGCAAAGGCATACGCCATACAGCCAAATCTTCAGTATGACCAGAGATGTTGAAAAGTTGATCTTCTTTTGTTTTTCAACAATGCCTTGGTTTTGGGAGCCACGATTTTGCCAATATCACGTGATTTAACAGTGAACTGGCTTTGGGAACCACGATTTCGCCAAAAGTCACGTAACCAGCTTTAACAATATTTCAGGGTTTTAAAAACAAAAACTCACTCCTTAGGGATCAAAGGCGTGGACGAGCCTCCGGGTATGATGGCCAGCAGGTTGTCCCAGCCGCCGCAGACGCCGCCCGCGTGCCTCTCGATCAGTTCCTTCAGAGGGATGCTCATCTCCTCCTCCACTGTGCACGGCGTGTTCACGTGACCCAAGATGTTTTTTTGGTCCTTTCCTTTTGCAGGCAAAGGCTTACCAAACACGTGACCAGAGATGTTTTTTTGTCTGATCCTTTTTTTTTTGCAAGAAAAGGCAAAGGCATACGCCATACAGCCAAGTCTTCAGTATGACCAGAGATGTTGAACAGTTTTTTCTTTTATTTCTGGCAATGACTTGGCTTTGGGAACCACGATTTCCCCAATGTCACGTGAGTAGCTTTGACATAGCTACAGGCTGTTTAAAATCAAAAAACTTACTCCTTAGGGATCAAAGGCGTGGACGAGCCTCCGGGTATGATGGCCAGCAGGTTGTCCCAGCCGCCGCAGACGCCGCCCGCGTGCCTCTCGATCAGTTCCTTCAGAGGGATGCTCATCTCCTCCTCTACTGTGCACGGCGTGTTCACCAGATATAGTTTTTTATGGCCCTTTCTTTTTGCAGGCTAAGGCATACCAAACACGTGACCAGAGATGATTTTTTGTCTGATTCTTTTTTTTTTGCAAGAAAACGCAAAGACATACGCCATACAGCCAAGTCTTCGTGGTTAATGAGTAGAGATGTTGAAAAGTTGATCTTCTTTTGTTTTTGTCAGAGAGATGGCTTTGGGAACCACGATTTCTTCTAGCTTTAACAATATTTCAGAGGGATGCTCATCGTGCACGGAGTGTTCACGTGACCCGAGATGTTTTTTTTTTTAGAAAAGGCAAAGGCATACGCCATACAGCCAAGTATTCAGTGTTAATGACCAGGGATGTTGAAAAGTTAATCTTCTTTTATTTTTAACAGTGGACTGGCTTTGGGAGCCACGATTTCGCCAATATCACGTGATTTAACAGTGAACTGGCTTTGGGAACCACGATTTTGCCAACGTCACGTGAGTAGCTTTGGAAGTCTGCTGGATTTTTTAAAACAAAAACTTACTCCTTAGGGATCAAAGGCGTGGACGAGCCTCCGGGTATGATGGCCAGCAGGTTGTCCCAGCCGCCGCAGACGCCGCCCGCGTGCCTCTCGATCAGTTCCTTCAGAGGGATGCTCATCTCCTCCTCCACTGTGCACGGAGTGTTCACGTGACCCGAGATGTTGAATAGTTTGGTGCCCGAGTTTCTGGCGCGACCGAAAGAGGCGAACCACTTGCCACCGCGGCGGCAGATCGTCTGGGGAATTTGTTAATATGAATATATATATGAACAAGATAATGGAATGATTAATCATAATGCCACATGACTTTATGTTAGTGTTTAGTATTATTAATGATGTACACACGCCCACACTGTTAACTATCCATTCCGTTTTTGCTCTCGCTCTCATCAAATGCGATAGAGAGAGATGACATGACCGGCAATGGGTAGATAACACTGTTGTCGATAGTACAGTAGGTTTGAACAAATAAATAATGCTATAATCTATCTATCTATATAAATAAAAATGAATTGCTGTTCATTAGTCTGATTAAAACTCGAGAACAGCTGGGCCGATTGAGCTGATTTTGGTTTTAAAATGTTTGTCGTAGTCCAGGGTAGGTCTAAACGGTGAGCAAATAAGGAAAAATTGCGATGGCTTATTTATTGCCTTTAAGGCGGAACAGAGTTCGCGGGGTCAGCTAGTCTATCAATAAAAGGACCTTAGGCAATGTGGCCATTTAAGAATGAAATTGTGTGACCACTTTGATGTTTCTAGTAAATGCTTAAAAATGTGTTCTACTACAGCAATGCTGTTTGAAGCCATAGTTTCAGGCTAAGTTTGGTTTTTTGAAATTGTCAAATTAGAATGCATAAAATATAGCTGGCTATAGTCTGGTCTGCGAGCACGTAGAATTTTGTCCAATGACCCCAAGCTACCCACACTCACACACAATGAGGGTTTTCGCAATTGAAAAATCCGCCAGATGGCAATACGTAGACGGGAGGTCCAAATGCTGCATGATTGGTGGATTTTGACATATCTGTCAATGTCATGTCAAAAATAACCAAGCGATAAGGATGGGTAGCTTGGGGTCATTGGACAAGATTCTACGTGCTCACAGACCGGGCTTTAGCTGCTTATTTACGTGTCGAATTGCATTTGCTATTAATGTAACCTTTTAATGAAATATCTAAGTAAACAATTTACCGGTGCCACAGCAATGGTCTCCACGTTGTTCACAGTAGTGGGACAGCCGAACAGGCCTACGTCAGCGGGGAACGGAGGCTTCAGTCTAGGCTTGCCCTGCTTGCCCTCAATGGACTCGATGAGCGCGGTCTCTTCACCGCAGATGTATGCGCCGGCGCCGCGGTGGACGAACACGTCGAAATCGTAGCCCGAACCGCAAGCGTTCTTGCCGATCAGGCCTGCTTGGTACGCCTGCAAGTTACAAGGCATGTCATAAGATGTTTTACAATATTTTAGCTTTTATAAAAATACAGCACAACCACAATATTTGTCTCTTCAACCATTTAAAACACACAAATTCATATTTAATTTGTGTTGTAAAAAAATGGTCTCTCCAGAGCATTTCTCTATCTGAAGTATACCTACATAGATTCAGAAAGGACGACCTTTTCATACATGACTATTTTTAAAACCCAAAACTAATTAACAAGCTAGAAACTGTTTTAAAGAAAGATCTTTATGTCTTTTAATAGCAATATACATGTGGATGTATAGCATTGCATGGTGGTGGTGTCTTGACATGCTGGATAAATTTAAATCAAGGTTGATTAATCAACCTTTTCTAAAATACAATAAATGGAATTCTTACATTACATTTCACAAGTTTAGAGGCTATATTTGACTTGGGCAATAATAAGTAATTAGTAAGCAATAAATTGTTTAGTTTGTAAACAGTTCATTTGATTAATTATAATAAAATAAACTATTACATTACTGATGCATTACACACCAAGAAAAATTACAACTATTTTGTTTGTACCAACAATGTCCATCTTTGGTAATGACAAGCTTTTTACATTAAAAAATACATTAATAACAGTATTTGTAATTTTAAAAAACCTGTTATGGACTAATCAAAATTATTGGTACAAAAAAGTATCATTACTCATTAGCACACTTAAGTTAAATAATTACAAAAACATGGTAATGAGTCACTAATTTAAGTCAAAACTAACTGATTAGCTTTAATAATGTTGTATAACACTGAACTATCAATATTTTGTAGTGTTTTAATGTCACTTACCTCTGCAATAGCCACCTGCAAGTTACTGGCCTCATTGTAAAACTCTCCTCTGATATAAATATACGCAGCTTGAGCGCCCATAGCCTTGCCGGCAATCAGACAACCCTCAATAAGCTTGTGTGGGTCGTGACGCATAATCTCACGGTCCTTGCAAGTACCAGGCTCTCCTTCGTCAGCATTTACGACTAAGTACTTAGGACGGCCGTCTGAGGGCTTGTTCATGAACGACCACTTCATACCGGTCGGGAAACCAGCGCCTCCGCGGCCACGAAGACCTGACGTCTTCATTTCATCTGCAAATTTCAATTGTGCAATAAAACATTACAGAAAGTTGAATGTATTGCTTGTGTTGGACTATTAGAAGGTAAACACTGAGAGAAACTTCCAAATTACTTACTGACGATCCAGTCGGTTCCTTTCAGCAGTATTTCCTTGGTCAAATACCAGTCTCCGCGACTGAGCGCACCTTTGAGACGCCATTCGTGTCTGCCATACAAGTTGGTAAATACCCTGTCGCTGTCGGCCAGGGGCCCATATTTAGACTTGGCCGGCGGTGCCTGTGTTTGCTGGGACCGCACCGGCACATTGCTGATGTTAGCCAAAGGCCCAACAATGCCTAAAACAAGACCAGACGTCAAAATTATGTAAGCTGGCCCGTTGCGCAGTAAATCTCCAGGTAAATTAAACGTGCACCAATCAACACTTTGACTTGTGAAGAATGCAATAACTTGGTAAATGAAGACTACAATGTACCCAAACAATATTTTATTTACCCAAATGTGTTTTTGTCCCCTGAATAACTCTAGCCAGCGCACCAGCCATTTTTCTCGAAATGTCAAACTAAATGATACCGTGCTCAAATGGACCTATACCTACCATAATAGAAAAAAATTGAAAAAAAAACTACCAATAAGCTCATCAATAAATCGTACACAAACAAAAATCTCAAGAATTTCACTGTTGTCTGTATGAACTTTATACTATGCTTACACTGGGTATAAACTTTACTCTGATATCTGCATTTTAACTTCTTGTTCATGTTCATAATGTTATAAACTACTACAATGAACATTTTTTTCAGTTTTGCAACACTGCAACATATGTTTTTGGAACGTTTTGTTTCATTAACTTTTTCTATGAAATTATAATGACTTGTATTTTTAACATAAATAAACTGTGCTATTAATTGAACAAAAAATATTTTTTTATTAAATTATATTGTAGGTAAATTTATAGATAAATTAAATAGATATAAAAAATAGGTATTTTTAATAAATAAAACGTGAACTTCCTGTCATTCACTTTCTTCTTGTTTGTTTTTGTCAAAAACTGTCAAAAGTTTTTATCTATTTTTTTCACGGTTTTTCATAAATCATACGCACGAGCCAAACTAAAATACTTTTATTGTAATTATCCTAAGAATCAACTGTTCAATAGAAGAAGAAAAGTCCTCAAATCTAATCAACAGGAATTTTTGACAACTGACTGAAGATTCGGGATTAGATTAGATGAGGAGACTTTTATTGCCTCTTATCTTCAACTTTGGACTCTGCAGAAATCACGGCATTTGTACAGCTAAAGAAATGGCAGCAGTCATCCCCGCGGTTACTAAACTGTCCAATCGAATAATAAGGATACTTGGGTGCAACCCAGGCCCTATGACCCTCCAGGGAACCAATACTTACTTAATTGGAACTGGTAAAAGGTAATTAATCAATTAGATTACCTTCCCTCCTCTGCAAATGATACCGAGTGAACTTATTTTACTTAACATTTTATTTTTAAATCTTTCTAAACTCTTCCCTGTTTTTTTTTCAGCCGAATCCTTGTAGACACAGGAGACAAAGATGTAGCAGAATACCAAAAAAACTTGGCGAATGTAGTGCAGTCTGAACAGGTGGATATTGAGCATATAGTGGTCACTCACTGGCACCATGACCACATTGGGGGAGTAGAGAACATCTATGGATCTATTGCAAGTAAGTATTTATCAACTCTTTTATAAAAATCCAAAATTAGCCTATCATAATGCTTACTCATTATATTTACTTTCAGAGCAACCTAAGGTGTGGAAGCACAAAAGAAGCCAAGAGGATTCACCAGACAATGAGTTGCCATCATCAATTCCAACCTGTTGGCTATCAGACGGCCAGGAGATCAAAGTAGAGGGTGCCACAGTCAAAGTCCACCACACACCTGGCCATACAACCGACCATGTGATCCTAACTTTACTGGAAGAAAACATTCTGTTCAGTGGAGACTGTATACTAGGGGAGGGTACTGCTGTATTTGAGGATTTGTATACTTATATGAAAAGCTTGCAAAAGATACTTGATTTAAACCCTGGAATGATCTATCCAGGTCATGGAAATATTGTAGAAGTATGTTATTAATTTCCCTTACTTATTCATTACTTCCAAATTCTTTTTGATTAATTTTTTTGTTTAATTTCAGGACCCAATACAGAAAATAGAATATTACATAGCACACAGAAACCAAAGAGAGTTCCAAATACTAGAAGTCCTCAAAAATAACCCTGAGAAACAGCTAACTGAAATGGATTTAGTCAAAATAATTTATGTAGAAACACCTGAGCATCTTTGGCCTGCCGCTGCTTACAATGTCAACCATCATCTCACTAAATTGACGAAAGAAAACAAGATCAAGTGTGTCAATGTTAATGGAGAAAATAGATGGCAATATAGCACAATTACTTGCAACTGCAATTTATAATATTTATTATCATTATCATTGTTTGTAAATAAAAAAAGTTTGTTTTATAAATGTATATTTATTGTAAAACCATTGCTGACAACTGCAAACATATTTGCGAAAAATAAATAAGTACATTGTACCCAAATAAAATATTTAAAACAGATATTCATATTATGAACGTAGTGGTAAAAGATTCAGTGAAGAAATTGTTGTTCTAACAAAATATACACAAATGGCGAACAGACAGGTATTTTGTAGAATAAAGTTGAAGTATTTTGACAACACAGAATTTCATTATTGACACTGAAATTGAGCAGTGTGCATTTGATTAAAAAGGAAAATAAATTAATTCTTAACATAAACATAATTTTACAAGCAGTTTATCTTGTATATTATAATTTAATCACTAAAAGTGTGATTCATCTTACAATAGTATCATTAGAGTACACTGTTGTGATGAAAAGATTCAAATTAAATAGAGGTACTTAGAAGAATTAGTCAGAAAAACATGGAGGTACTTCGCCAAATTGCTTATCTAATTCGCCTTTAAGTATTTGCCTATGTTTCTTAACGTTTTCATATATTTTTTCAAACATTGCCCGGTCGGGCTATGATGAGCGCCGCGATAAAATCTTATGGACGATTTCAGAGACAAAAGTATGTCTATAATCGATAAAATGCCCAAATGAAGTTCCAAAAAAAAGTTCATAGGCAAGCTTGTAAAATGTCTTCATAAAACAATCCGAATTTGGTCAGTTTTGTATTTCACTTAACTATCCTAGCTAGATTCTCAAACTAATTATTACTTTAATATAGATTCTCGCAATATGTTCAACAACATCGATGAGCTTAAAAGTAGGATAATGTATTTTACATTATATTATCTATGGTGGAGCGTCGCTATCGGCGCGTGCGCTTGGGCGGAGGCATGATGTCGGAGTCGTCGTGGAATCTGTGGTTGTCTATGAAGTCCAGTAAGATCTCTGTTGTGACCGGGTCCTTGATGCTCTCGCACACAGCTGGAAGAAATAATTTTACTTTAGGAACTACATATTTATTTTTTATTTACAGTCTCTTCCCTCAACACTTTACAATGCCGATAGGTATGGGGCCATTCATTTATTACGTAAGACTATTTTCGCTACTTTTTGACCCCCCCCCCCCCTCTATTATAAGAAAAAATAAGAATAGGCGGACCAAATCCCCCCCTGTCCCCTGGCTGATGAGAACGCTAGGTAAGATTCGTCCCTAACGCCCAGCCTCCTTTGTACATCCCGCTCACTCTTAAAGAGTTGCTTGCATGAGCAAAAGGGAAAATAGACCGGAAATTGCATGACGTTATAAGTATCGCCGCAGGTATGGAGAATTAAGCCTAACGCTGCGTTTACACTGCGCGGAAATTAGCCAAGTCAAGTCAAAAAAACAGTGGGGTGGGGATAAAAAATGAATGAATTTCATCCCCACTCCTCTGTTTTTTTGACTTGACTCGACTGTTTTCCGCATAGTGTAAATCCGCCATAATATTGAATAATGTTGATAAAGAAACATTTAAACTTTTTTTCATAGAGGAAAAAAAATGTTGCACTCTGAACTTACCCATAGCGGTAGTATAGCTGTTCGGATACGACTTATCCGTCCGCTCTCTCATATATACCCACTTGTTGTCTTCGAATGTGCACTCTATTATCTTATTGTTAAGGTGCTTTATGTCTTTCGTCACTTTCATCGAGGCGAAAGGTGTTTCCATCTGGCCTACATAGAGATGACCGACTTTTGTAGGCAGCATACTGCAAAGTAAACATATTGTAATGCTTCGATTCCTTATTGTTACGAACTTTTTAAAATAGGTAATTTCAAAAACTTATAAACGTACCCCTGTCCACCTTGAGTGACGATTTTCAGCTTGAAATCTACACTGTTCATGTTACTTGGTTTCCATTTCAATACTTCGTCGCATCTCCCGGCGACATACGGCTGAAATAAAAAAGTTAGCTCTTATAGTAGGTTGTTTGTTCAGGGAATCCCCTAAACTAGATTTAATAACAAAGATTTTAAGGGTCGGGCATTTCTGTTAGTAATAAAAACAATCGGGGAATATCCCGTAAAACAAAAACTAACGGGAACGCAAATTAGAAATAACGATTCTTAGAAATAATATCAAAATTCGTTTCAGTTAAATAAAGTCCACAGCTGAACAAAGGCCTTACACAGTATCAAAGTGTCCTATTGTAATGATTCTTAGAAATAATTTCAGTTATTTATAATGAGAAAGGACCTTGTATGGGTAAAGTTTGCCTTCGTATCGTGTTCCCTTTTACATGTATTGGTCATGCATCTTTTAGGAAATACCTAATAATAGTTTCTACTAAGGTACGGTAGGAGATACCCTGCGTGATCAAACCAGAAATAAAGAGATCCGCAGGAGAACCAAAGTGACTAACATAGCCCGCAAAATCACAAAAATAGAGTGGGCGGGGCACACAGCTCGCAGAGATGCCAGAAAAGTTCTTTTCTGCCCCAGCGGAGCTGGAAGACGTAGTGTAGGTAGGCCCCTCACTAGGTGGACCGACGATCTAGTGAAGGTCGCGGGAGGTGCCTGAATGCGGTCTGCGCAGGACCGGTCTTTGTGGAAATCCTTGGGGGAGGCCTTTGTCCAGCAGTGGACGTCATTCGGCTGAAACGAACGGTAGTTTAGGTTACCTTACCTCCTTGGACGGTTGAAAGATGAGCCCATCAGGCTCATGGGAGAGTGTCTTCGCGAACTTCTCCCCAAGCAACTGGTGCGCCATAGGAAGCTCCCAGAACTGCTTTAAACGTATACTGAAGGGCTCCTTTTCTTTTTTTATGATGCCTTCTTTCATGGCTTGATGCCTGTGTGATTGGGTGGTTATTGTAAAAAAAATGTTAGCATTGATAGATTTTTTTTTATTTGAAATATTCTACAGTTCATATTAAGCAGTACTGTAGGCCTAGGATACGCGCCGCGATAAGCGTTTAATATCACGCCATTTTATCGATTTTACGTGATAAGCCCATACATTTGTCATCTAAAATAATCGATAAGATTTTATCACGACACGCATGCTAGCCCGGATGGCCAGTTTTAACACTATACCCACCATGGGACTAACTATAAGGGTTGACTAAAAGTACCTACTGTAAATTACCCATGGCATTTTACACAGTTTATTTTGTTCTGCTCTGCTTTCATAATAAAATACTTTTTATGGATTGTAGTATGCTGAAATAGTATTATAATGTGGTAAAAATTACCTAGGTTTAACAATTTCGTTCTCTATACAGTTTAATCTCACAGGGAAGAACGCCATCTTGCCAACGTCTAGTCCTTCAAACTTTACTATATCGTAGCATAAATATCTGTATATTTCTTCACCTTCAACTTTGTCTATCACCATTTCCTGAACAAAAGATAAACTGTTAATTCAAATAAATGTAGTGTTAAGTAAAATTAATATTGTCTATTAAATCTACTTACCCCATCAAGTAGAGTATTCTTTAGATGCCTTCTGAGATCTTTCCTATGTAGGAATCTTAAGCCAAATACTTTAAATACGCAGTTATCTCTGTCTAACATGTACACTTCTCCTTCGCCGTCTATTAACATCATATATCTGAAAGAAAACATTTGGAAATAAGAATAAAAATATTAAATGTTATGTGAAGAGTTTATACATCAGCTACACTCCTCAAAACGCTTCGACGTAGTTAACCGAAGTTCGAAGGGCATATCTAGTATACACTGAAGAGCGTACATCTATAATATGCTACCTACTTCGATTAATTTTAGGCCACTTCAAGAGTAGTGTAGTTGGGGTACACGCTTAAAGGAGAAATGTGTGAAAGAAGTTTACCTAACTCCGTCTGCTTTCCACGACACCCTATAAGGTTTCTGATGTAGCTTCTTTAAGTTCATAACATCCATGGACACCGGCTGAGAGCCGGGGAATCCTGTGCTCTTCCACTCGCAGAACTCTTGGGCTTTCTTCTGGACTTCACTGAGCCGAGGCTGAGCATTGAACGGTTCCACTCCACGAACCCCGGGCATGAATGTTGACTTTTTGTGAGTGGTCTCCCGTCTGCCCTTCTTGGGTTTGTTATTGTGCCTGGAGGGTAAAACAAATCTTATAATGAACTATAATTTCCGGTAAGAAAAATACTTGTTTGTATGTTTCGGTAGAATATTTATAAGTATTTTGAATGAAGAAGTTTATGTAACTTACCCAGATGTACTTTGTGATGGGGCACTACTTTGTGAATTGCATGGTTTGTCATCATCATCGTCATAATCTATTTCTTCTTCTTCTGTAAATAAAAAGTAACAAATTGCACTCATTATAAATAAGTTCAGGTTGAAAAACTTAAGGCAAGCTATTGAGTCAAGCAATATTTTGAAAATAAAATATTCTGAAATATACCATTGCACCAATCAGGTCTGGCAGGGGCAGCTGGTGTGAATTCAGCATCATCGTAGCGTTTGTATAATTCTTCTAGGTAATCTTGTTTGTATATTCCAGGAGGCCTAATAAAGATATTACCATAAGTAAGTAACAAACACTTTCACAAAATGGATCCGAAACGTGGACGCTTACTATGGGCCTCATAAGAAGGCTCAAGGTCACCCAAAGGGCGATGGAGCGGGCCATGCTTGGAGTTTCCCTGCGTGATCGAATCAGAAATGAGGAGATCCGCAGGAGAACCAAAGTGACCGACATAGCTCGCAGAATTGCTAAAACCAAGTGGCAGTGGGCGGGGCACATAGCTCGTAGAGACGATGGCCGTTGGGGCAGAAAAGTTCTCGAGTGGCGACCACGGGCTGGAAGACGTAGCGTGGGCAGGCCTCCTACTAGGTGGACCGACGATCTCGTAAAGGTCGCGGGAAGAGCCTGGATGCGGGCAGCGCAGGACCGTGCATTGTGGAAAGCCTTGGAGGAGGCCTTTGTCCAGCAGTGGACGTCATTTGGCTGAAACGAACGAACGAACGAACTTTCACAAAACTCCATTGGTTACATACATAAAATAGTAGCACTTACCGGAGTCTAGCGAACTCACTCAGAGCAGCCTCCACGCTGCAATCCAACTGCTCTACCATGTATGAAACTAGTAGAAAGCCAGTTCGGTTGAATCCATGAGTACAGTGCACCCCAATAACCTCTAAAGGATTATTTGTAAGGAATCTGCTCACAAGTTGGATGAATAATCTGTAATAAGCGTAAGAAAAACAATTTTCTTTACTACCATCATCATAAAATCTCTTTAGATTTCTTTAATAAAACCGATTAAAAGTACTGTGTGGCACCCACGTCCCACATGTTCAATTTTAGAATAATAAGTTGCTGCTTTTGATTTTGTGTAAAAAGGCTAAACTAATGTTCGGTTAGAAAGGAAGACAATCCCAATCTGAGGAAATAAACAAAATGTACTTCAAAGCTTACATTTTTAAGTTTAGAACAAGTCAGGTCCTTTTAGCGTTACTATTACAAAAGACAGGCACCTGGTCTGGTCAAGTGACGGTGTTTCCCCATGTCCACGGCACTGCAGTTTGACGTACTTGCAACCCATATCCTCCACTTCTTGCTTGTTGTAGAATCTGGTTGTGTTCGTAAGATCCACCCATAGCCCTAGTTTTACCTGTTAATTATTAGATTTTTAAAAAATACATTAGACCATTTTGCTCAAAATCCTCTATTTACGCCTATGGGTCTGTTATTATATTTAAGATCTTATTGTATGAACCAATATGATGCAATAAAAAACTATGGTTATGATTTTATTAATTTACTGTAATCAATAAGTAATAGTTATATAATTGCAACTTTAATGTGTTATTTATCTTCATCTGGTACAATGTCAAAAAATATTAAATAAACACACTAGCAGTTTGCTGGGTATAAAATCGTAAAGTAAAATATATTACTTCATTGTAGCCTAGTTTTATTTTTTTACTTCTCTCCTAAACATTATTGATACATTAGGACATTAAAAATACCATGATTATTATAACAATATTTCAAAATGCATACTTTAATAAATAAATTAATGCTCAGTGTATTTCTACAAGTCTGCATTTAAAACTGGGGCATTCACAAGGTTTTGAACCTACATAAACAGCTAACGAAAGCAAAACACAACAAGATATGCTTACCTTCAAAGTTTTCATGTAATCAAACAGCATTGATGGCGTAAAGCGGTTTCCTTCAGGTACCTTATCATTGAAATTGGACCCCAGAGGCGTTTTGAATGCCAGGAACTTCCCAGCGACCAGCCCAGTGGCCTTTCGTGGACACCTCAACCATCTATTAGGGATAGGTCCCGAATCTCTGTGCGACATGTCTTACAAATAGCAGCTTTTTGAAACTATGATGAACAGTAACAGACCATTTAACGAACACTTCACGTTATCGTTTTTGTAGAAAAATCACAAAGCATTCACCAAAATTACATTTCATGCAGACGAGCAAAGCAAAAAAATTTAGAGAAAGACGAAGACAGACAGCCAGTGACAGATAAATTAGTGACGTGTGTAGCTTAAATAATTGAGGTCATTGGAATGATACCTCAATATTCAATTGATGAATCGATTCATTCGAATATTCTTCATAACAAAGCAAGAAAGCAGCAATGTAAAAACTATTTTATAACTTTTCCAATCACTTGTTCTTGCTCCTTATTTAGTGGATCACTTATTTTTTAAGTTTATTCAGAAATGGTTGTGCGTGCCTGCAATTTCGTACGAGTGGTCGGTCTACTAATGCTTTCGTCGATATTGTTGTGAGCTATCTAACACCAAACAATTTTTTAATCGGATAGAAGTTTCTGAATAAGCGCGTTCAATTAAACCTACAACCAAACTTCCGTTTTTTATTCGCCTAGATTTTAAGAAAGTAAATAATATCGTTGAAACATGTTTTATTATCGTAATTATTTTAATGTATTAATAATCAGCTAAATGACAGACAGGGTTTGATACGTTACTTAATTTGGTTACATACATGTGATACATGTACGGTACATGATGTACCTACAAAAAAATGAAATTCATATTTTATTCCACCTTTGAATAATGTTGTAGCTTGAATCGATTTCACAGTTCAATTAATCAGTAATTATTTCAATTGTTCATAATATGCATAAATTATAATAAATTAAAACGATTCATTCTAAATACATGAGAAATGGTTCTTGATATTGATAAACACCTAAAATTATTTCATTTTTCTTAATCTTATTAAATTGTCTTCTTGTTTATAATAATAAGATTTCATGTTTCTAAACGAAATTAACTATTTTTGGCTGTTGCCAGCGCTGACAACAACTAAATACAAAATAATTGCTTCCGTCTCTTTCTAAACGTAATGGGCAGAAAGCGATAGACGCTATTTACGTTCTATAAGTTGGCATCATTGCTGCTCATATTTGCCAAGAGCCTGCCATTTTGTAAGATAGAAGGGAGATAAAAAATAGTTTTATGGTGTTAAAATTTTACAAAAACGTCGTTGCCATTTGTGTTAGGGCCCAAAACAAATGTTTAAATGGACGCATCGTCCATTATAACTCAGGTGTCACGGGATGACGAACAATTAAACAATTATGGATCCGACAGAGGTAAATCTAAACCGAATTACACCTGTTACCTACTAGCATCAAATTAGAGCGTATAGTGTTACCTCTACATGATTCGTAAATATTTGTCGGTCGTGATCGAAGATAAATCAGTGATCTGTTGAACGTATTGTATCCTTTGAATTACGTCTCAAGTGTGCGAAGCTCGAGGTAAACAGTTGGAACGTGTGAACGCGATAACATTCTTAGGAGCAACCTTGAGAGCTTGTCTTTCCTTAGACCAGTCCCACATGAAAATTGGGCTTCCGCGTGTGTGATTTGGTCGGTGTTAAAGTTGTGATGGTTGTTTTAGGGTCATCCCCTGGCGGGCAGCATAATGAGGGTGATGGGACACCAGTGTCAGGGTCTACTCCTTTGGGGAGTAAGAAGTCGAGTGGGAGCGGTGGTTTCCTGCGATCGCTGTTGTGTTGCTGGCGCGGCGGCCGAGGCAAGGGCCCTCCCGGCGGGAATGGCACGAATAGCATCGACGGCAGGGCTTCCCCTCCGCTCCTGGTTATGCACGACCATGCCCCCAGACCCTTGTTGCCACCAGTGAGACATCAGGATATGCATAAAAAGTGTATGGTCATAGACCTCGATGAAACATTAGTGCACAGCTCCTTCAAGGTATGTTTACAATGTATTGTAAGACCCATTTAAACATGATATTAATATGCATGAATGTTTTGAAAATTATCCTTGCAAATGAGAAAACCCTTGAGCCCTTGACACTTGAAATGAGAAATATTAGGTGTTAATATAAAAAATCCTTATTCATTTACCTACATTGTTATTGTAAATACAAGCCAAACAATCTGTCCAATCTTATAATACTGTTGAGTATTGACATGTAATTAATTTGTTTATTTACACCTGCAAGCCAATTAGTCCTAATGCATATTTACCTTTTCGCTTATATTCAGTAATAGCCCTAACAATGAACCACTTATTGGTATTCAGTAACAAAGCTTATTTACAAAAGTTTACCTTCTATTAGGTTAATGAGGTGTAGGTGATTAACCCACAGAACAAAGTGGCCTACATTCTTTTCCTCAAATACTAATTACCTACTCATAGTTATTGGACAAAAGCTTGTAACTTGTTCAACAAACTCATTCTATGATGTAAGATATTTATGTTCAGTAATTGAACAAATTAGTTGTCCAATGTGCCTTCACAAGTCAATTGTTTTGTTGTAGGGCATTATTTTAAAGACTAACAGATGTTAGTGACATTCGGGGAAGTTAAGCTTGCCATAATCTTTGTCCTTCACAGGATTTGAACCTGAAAATGCAGCGAATATAGCAATCCTATACACAAACTACCAGAGCAATCAGTCGTCATAAACAATTTTTATTTGTAGGAAATTTTAAAACTACTATTTCTTTATCTTTATTTATTACTTGACGCACAGCATAATTCTGTATAAAAAGTTGTTTTGATTTATCGAAATGAAGATATATATTATTACTAAATGCTCAGAAATTATACACTCTAAATTGACTATCTAGTCTTATATCCTCGTGACTCATGCCATTAGTTAAACACAATCGCACAATTCAGCAATGAGGATCATTTCGATTTTTAGCTGTGAATGCAGATTTATAGGGCTAAGAAATCCTTAATACACAGTCCAAAAATTTTTGTTCTACGACAAAAATTGACGAAGTTATGGCCAAATTACTAAAAAAGTTCACTGACCGCCCGGCGCGGGGACGATGACGTCATTATATCCGATCCGAACGCTGCCGGCGTACTGCGTGGATAGAAAATATTTTTTTCTAGCCAAACTATCAGTTTTAGAGAAAAACTTGTAATGACATTTATTCATCAGAATAAAGTAAGCTATCGATAGGTAATTTTTAAAAATAGAAATTGTGAAAAATAACGCAAATGCCTCTCCCCCCCCCCCAGGCCAGAAATTGGGTATTAGCATCATATTATGTATTATTATGTTCGATACAAACAATCATTAAGTTACACTCACCCCAACCGCGTCTCCGCATTGCATCGAATCCTATGAAAATGTGGTTTTTGGACATAGCGATACTTATTTTTCACAATTTTTATTTTTAAAAATTACTGGTCGATAGGTTACTTTATTTTGATGAATAAATGTTATTAAAAGTTTTTTTCTAAAACTGATAGTTTAGCTGGAAAAAAATATTTTCCATCCCAATAGTACGCCGGCTGCGCTCGATTCGGATATAATGACGTCACGCGGCCCTGCGTACGTTGACTTTTAGCGGCAAAAACGGCCTATGTTTATTACTTAATATCTTCGTAAGTAATGGTCCGATTTGGAAAATTCAAAAAGATATATCTTTCTTATGTCTTAAAGATTAACGTAGATACTAGTTTTATTGAATTTTCTACAACAGTACTGATCCTCATTATCTTAGCTGCTTCATGTGATTATCTTGTACGTTGAAAAGACGTCCAACAATTACGTAGAAAGATTCTTGTGAGCAAAAACATAAAATTCCAACTCTTATTAACTAAAATTGATTTTAATAACATGTTTCTGTCCACTACAAGGAAGTGTTGTAATTGAAAGTTAGCAAATATTTCTAATTGGACTGGTTTTTACATAATTTTCCGTCTGTGGTTTTAATGGGAACATGAATGTAATGATTGATATGTGTTATCTGGCCATTTTTGGTGGTGATTTGTGGTTGGATATTATTACTTTTGTCATGTTTTGGCACACATTATTTTTAACAACTGAGCATTGAGGTATGACACAATAGTAAACTTATTGTTCAAGGCTCACTGTTGAGCCTTGTAGTGTTCAACATGTTAATACATTTTTGACTTAAAANTATTTTAATTTTTTTTGTTACTTTCTAAGTGTTGAATTTTATGGAATTGGGAAAGAAGTACCGAGTTTGAAGCGTTCATGAGCAGACATTGCAGTTGAATATTCAAGTTCTGAATTTGATTATTGATGAATAATAAAATAAATCCTACTAGCTCGATTGATGGTTTCATTTAATTTATTTAAACCAGGTTACCTTTAATAATATTTTTTCGTTAATTTATGAAAATATCAAATTAGCCCGTAATCCTAAATCATGATACATTAAGTTAGCCTATTAATTTAACACAGGTACGACTGTACTCAGTGTTGCACTATCAAATGCAATTGACGCGCCTCTATGCCAGGGTTTTTATGTTCCTGGTCAGGCTCTATATAACTTATCAGAAAACTGGAAATTACAGTTATATCAAAATTGAAACTATCCCGCTACCTACTGTAATCGATTATGACAGTCAAAACGATTTGAGGATCTATTCAGGACTACTCTAGAAAGTAAAAAAAAATCTTTCATGACCATTGAAGTCAAGGGTTTTTGCTTGAAGACTTTTTTTAATCATGTCTGTCGGTATTATACGTGCCAAGAAGTAGGTATATACCTAGGTAAAAGGGTACATATCTACCTAATCCACCTTACGCCATAACCAGTAGACCAGTAGTGAATATTATAATGTCAATAATCGACTTAGGCTACCTAGCCTACCTAAAAACTTAGGTTCTAGTTTGAAAGGTTTTAGTGTGAAATGAGGTAATAGGGGGCTGTACCTAGTTAGACTAAGTCTATTTTCCTATTAATAATTACTTTAAGTGCATTAAAATCAATAATCCATAAATAAAAATATTTAAAATTTTGCATGTCCATTACTCGCTTCGCCGCGCGTGCCCGCAAAAATTTTTTATGTAGTAATATCAGGCACCATAGGTACTTACGACTACATAAGGTTTGACCGCTACAGTTTGCAACAGTGGCCAGAAAAAAAATAATAACGTTTTTTCTCCATACAAATTTTTTTGTCATATTTTTTTTAAGCATGAAAGGCTCGTTTTTACGAAAAATGCATAATAACAAATGTTGATCAGCATTCAAAATGCTATCCAAAACAATTTTTGTTTCGATGAAATTATGACTTTCGATCGTATGTCCACCTATTTTTAAAATCAAACTACTGTGCGCCGTGGCCTTCGTCACCGTGGACCACGGTATATGCTGAGTAGGGATCCCGTTGCAGTGGGCATCCTGTTTGTGAACAGGTGGCACTGCTCAGTTTAGTCTTGTTTCTGTGTTTCTTCCCATATTATGTGCCTGTATTTGTGTGATGTCAATTGTAATAAATGTATATTTCTTTCTATTTCCTTAGGTTATTTATTTATTTAAACTTTAGCACACACAGAAACAATGCACTGTGGCGGACTTAATGCCGGATGGCATTCTCTTTTATGATTTATGACACAAGACATTTGTATTGCACTCCACCCACCTGAAGTTGGTCCCGAAGCCGCGGCTCTGCTGCAGCGTCTGCGCGAACATCTCGTACTTGCGGATGTCGTTGTCGGACACGGAGCGGCGCGCGAACTTCATGGCCTCCTCGAAGTGCGCGCGGCTGATCTCCGGCACCGGGTCCTCTTCGTCCATCTGCGGGATTTGGAAATAATGTTACAAAATAAACGACACGGTGGACATTCGTCGGCCGTTTGGTGTAGTGCTTCAGAACGGACTACTATGCCGAGAGGTCCCGGGTTCGATTCCCACAAAATTTGTGGGCAGCATCATAGCAGCATAGATTATTTTAAATCTTTCTTGCGGCAATTGGACCCCGATTGCATTTCATTCTGAATTGCACATCAGCTGGAATGAAAATGGAGCGTGGCTGGAGTATACTGGAGATGAAACGCAAATAATTTGGAGACGGCATTGCGCTAATTTAGCGCAATGTACTTACGCCAATAACTATTGCCTTCTGAATAATTTTTACTTTTTTTTTCTCGATTGTTAATCCGATTACCGATATCGAATAGCCGATTACTCAATCTTTTTTTATTTTATTTTTTATTGGCACTTGTCACTTGCCTCTTTATATTGTTTTCTGTTTTGTTTCTTTTGATGCGTGATGCCACCACAAAAAGTTCTAATTTTCTATTTTTCTCTTCGTGTTGTGTTGTTAATGTTTATAGATTGTGCTCAGTCTAATAAAGTCCATTCTATTCTATTCAGTCGGGGCTCAGGGTTAAATAAAAGTGACTTGACTTACGTCCATGACGGCGGCGGCGGGCTGCTGCTGGCGGCTGCGCTCGCGCGCGATCTCGGCCTCGATGGCCTGGCGGATGGCCAGCTTGCAGGCGCGCTGGCAGATCTCCGTCAGGTCGGCGCCGCTGAAGCCCTGCGTCACCTGCGCAAAAAATTTGAACAAGTAGTCAAAATGATTTATTTAGCTAGCACAGAAGATTGCATACAGAATAATAATAATAAATAATAAAAACGTTTATTTGAACCAAAAGTTACATTATGCATGTATTACTATGCAAAAGTTACAAAAAGTGGCATGATAATCGGGGGTCCCATGACTACTAAACTAGGTTACAACCTGTGTCTTAGTAGCCAGTGATTCCTCAACTAAGATTTAAATACAATGACTTGGTCCGATTGGTTAGTCTTTTAAAACAAAACCAAAACTTAAAAAAAAAGAATTATTATAATAAATAATCTTTGGACAATTTTCACACAGCGCCAGCTAGCCCCAAAGTAAGCAACTTAATGCTTGTGTTATGGGTGCTAGCTTAACGGATATACTACTTATATACTTTTTTTTTT